TCGGATATTATAGTATTTCTATAGGATAATGACTTATATAAGGACTTCTATTAAGTTAAAGTTACTAGTTTCCTAGAAAAGAGTATATTTAAGGTTATTTCTAGATCTTAGATACTAAAAGAGATATATATTTTTAATTTCCGGTTTGTTAATAAGATTAAGAATAAGAGTATAAAGAGAGAGTTTAAGAAGTTAAGACTAGTTATCTAAGCTTATAATAATAATAAGAAATATATAGTATTAATATAATTACTTATTATTTAATATATTAGCCAGAGAATTATCCTTAGTATTACTACTATAATAATAGATATTATAGAACTATATTTATATAATATCTCGCAAGCTTATATTTAATTAATAACCCTACTTAACTATAATTTTTATATTAACCTATCTCGAGAGCTTATTAGAAAGCTAAATCTAAATAATAATTTGGTTCTAAAAGTTATAAAACTATTATATAGTATACTAGAAGCCGGGAACTACTAGTTTAAGACTTATTATTCCTATTATATTAATGAGCTTTTTATGAAATAGTTAACTTATAATTCTTGCTTTTTTTATAGTAAATAATTCTTCGGAATTATTAGTCTTTAAACTAATAATATTCTATTTATCGGAACTAATAATTTTATAAAAGTAGAATAATTAAAGCTCTATAAGGCTAAGTTCTTGGCTAAGAAGTATAAATGCCTTACTATTAACTATAATCTCAAGTTTAATAGAGGTATTATTTATATAGATATTACTGGAATTACCCTTATATAGGAATACTAGTATAAAAATCTCCGAACTATTTCTATAAAGAATACTACTATTATAAGTAATAGGGATACTATTTATTAAGATCTCTTTATTAATAACTAATATATTATCTAATATACTAGAGAAGTATATATTATATTAATCTATTAACTAGAAGCTTTATATAATCTATTAATTACTACTTAAGCTATTAAATTCTCGGAAACTAATATAAAGATACTTAATAAGTATATTTAATAATAAATTGAGAATATTACTAGAGGACTGAGATTTATAAAGCTAGTAAAAAAGTTCTTATATTTAATTATTTTTACGAATGCTTTATTTATAAATAATAGAGATCTCTTCTCCCAAATCGGATATATTCTAGTTCTAGTAAATAGAACTGGATATACTAATATTATTTACTAGTTCTCTACTAAATACAAGAAAGTTATTAGAAGTATCTTAGCTTTAGAACTTTATAGTATGGCTTACGGTTTTGATATAGGCGCTTTAGTTAAATCTATAATTAATAAAGTACTAGAAATAGAACTACTATTAGTAGTTTATACGGATTCGAAGTTATTATATAAATGTCTTATTAAATTAGGAACTACTTATAAAAAGTATTTAATAATTAATATAATATGCTTCTACTAGGTATATAAATAACGAGAGATTATAGAAATCAAATAAATTAAGGGAGAATCGAATCCTGCCGATTTTATAATAAAATTAAAGCTAATAAATGCCCTCAAGTACCTAATTAATATAAATACTATATAATTAGATATAGAGAAATGAGTCAAATACGGATAGAATAGAAAATGGATATATAGAATGAGAGGATATTATAGGAGTAGAAGTTATATATAAAAGGTTGTGGTCTTTAATATATAACTAAAACCCTTAGAAGCAATATGGATATATAAAACGTTTGGGAATCTGGTACTAGGCCGGATTAGAGAATTTGTATATAATTAGAAAGAGATATTGTTTTTTGTGTTTTTTAGAGAGTTTCTAGTATTAGTATAGCTATTTCTTTAGGAGTTATATATATAGTTATAGGATACGGGATACGGGATATAGTTATATAACCTTGCGTCCTATTAGTAACTCGACTAGTAAACTAGACCCTTTTAGGCTTAGTAGATTTAGGGATCATATATTAATATTATAATATTATAATTCTTACTTCTAAATAATAATAATTTTACTAACTATATATAAATAGTATTCTATAACTTATATAATAGTACTATATATTACTAGTAAACCAATACTATTAAATATTAATATTTTCTACTTGCCTTATATATATTTATATATCTAATTATAGAAATACTTAATATATTTCAGGCTAAAAATATTATTTATATATTTAGTTAAGTTTATAGTAAATATTATTTTAGTATTAAGATTATTATTAAAGTATTTCTCTAATAAAATCTCTTCTTTTAAAATTAGAAATAATATAATTACTTTATTATTAGTAAATATAGTTTTAATTATAATAAGTAATTTTCGATTATCTAGATCTATTAAATAAATAGCTTTTATATTAAGATATATAATAATAATCTTTCTATTTAAAATACTAATATAAAAGCTAGTTTTATTTATATTTTATATATTTTTAAAGCAAATTTTATATTTCTCTAATATTTTATAATATTCCTAAAAATGCTTTTTTAGATTCTTATTTTAATATATTACTTTTTACTTTTATACTAGTATTTTTATATAAAGAGTTTTAAATTATAATTTATTTTATTTAAACTATTATTATATCCAGAAGTAATTCATTTAATAAATAAATATATTCTTTTCAAGAATCTTATTAGCTACTATCTAAACTGTTTTAAGATTAGTTCTATAGCCTAAATAAACTAGGAAATTAATAAACTACTTTAGGCTCTTTTCCTAATTAGAAATAAGTATTTTATTAAGGCTTCCTTTAGTATTTTATAATAATTAGCTAGTAAAACGCGCTTTCTAAAGATATAATAGAACTCTAAATTAATATATAATTATAGATTTTTTTAATATATGAGTTCCTGGTATAGAAATTAAAGGCCTGGGCTATTCTTTTTTCTTTTTCTGAATTAAATTTGGCTATAATATTAATATTTAATTAATTAAAATTAATATAATAATAATAAAAATAACTATATTATTAATTTTTAATTATATTATTAATATATACTAAACTCGCAGGAATATAGAAGCTTTAGTATAAGTTTTAATATATAATTAATAGATATTTAAATAATTATAAAGAAAATAATTTTTTATAAAAAAATAGTTTTTATAAATTAATTAAATAATTAATTATTTAATAGTTAATAAAAAGTAATATCTTTTCTTTTTATAAAATTAAATTATAAATGAAAATAATAATTATTTCTTTTTTTAATAATATTAAATACTTTTTCTTTTTTTTATAAAACTAAATTATAAATAAAAATAATTAATAGTTATTTTCTTTTTAATATAAAATAATAGCTTTATTTCTAAGAAATTAAATTTTAAATAAATATAGTTTATTTTTTATTATTATTTAATTTATATATATAAATTAATTAGTATTAATTTATTAAAAATATATAATATTATTATATAATTATAAAATATAATTTATATAAATTAATAAAGTAATTAATATTTCGAAATAAGAATTATAATATTATAATATTAATATATAATTCTTAAATTTACTAAGCTTAATAAGAACTAGCTACTAATTAAGTTATTTATAAAATATAAAATTATAAAATTATATTCTATATTTTATATTCTATTATTTATATTTCATTTTTTAAATTTTATAATTATATATATAATTTCTAAAGAAATAGTTATATTAATAATTAATTGTATTTATAAATATTATTTTATAATTTATTTATTTTAAGTACTTATTATTAGTTTACTAGTAATATATAGTATTATTATATAGTCGTAAAATACTATTTATATAAGGTTAGTAAAGTTATTATTATTTAGAAGTAAGAATTATAGTATTATAGTATTAATATGTAATCCCTAAATCTGCTAAGCCTAAAGGGAACTAGTCTACCGGTCAAGTCGCGCCTGTAATATAAGCTTATATAACTAGTTATATAACCAGGAATTCGTAATATAGCTATTCTAATACTTATATATTATTTTATTATTATATATTTTATATTAATACTTTTATTAATATTTGGCTTTTATATATTAAATATATTTTTTCTTTAAATTTATTTTAATATAATATTAAATTAAAATTAAATAATTAAAAATTATTAATTATATAACTTATATTTAATATTAAAAAAGTTTTATTTTTAAATTTTTTAAATTTTTTTTAAAAAAAATTATAATAGAAATATAAAATAAAAAGTAATATATAAAAAAATAATAAGCTTTTATAAAGTGAAATTATAATATATAAATAAAATATAAAATTAGAAACTAGAAATTTATTTATTTTTAAGAATAAAAAAGAAAAAATATTATTATAAAATAATATTATAATAGTAATAAAGAACTTGAATTGAACTAAAGGCTATTTGCCAGGCTAAATGGAAGCACTAGCTATATACTAAGTCACGTGCAGTGGCATTACGTGACTGGTGCCACGTAACAAAAGAGGAGTAATATAAGCGGACTGCCAAATATCCGAAGGTTACACGACAGAACCACGTGACCAGGGGGAAATCCCCACCATACTTTTATTGAGGCTTATTTCAATTATCTAGCCTAATATATTAGGTTCACTCATTTCTTAAACCCAAAAGCCAACGAAGAATACGTAACCCTCCAACTCCTCTTCCCTCTCAATCTCAACCAAAACCCAAGTATAAATCCCGGCTTTAATCGAACCAGAAATCCCACAAACAACCTAATTCAACGGGTTCGTGCACTTTCTCACCCACAACGCCGGGGAGGGGATGGGAACGCGCCATGCCTTCGAAAAGAGCAGTATCCACGCCACGCCGGCTCGTTCCCCGCCATTCCATCCAAGTTCCTTCGTTCGAAATTTCTTCCAGTCCACGACTCGGTTCCTAGGCTCGTTCGATTCGATTTAAACCACTCTAGGACGAAGAAGTAACAACACCCCCAATCGTGAACACCCCAACCCACCACTAACCTTCTCCCCTTCCTTGGAACCCAAGCCCCCTCCCCCCCCTTCTTAAGTCCTAAAGCGAGGTGCTGCGCTGTGCGATAAATACCCCGAGCACGACAGCTCTCCCTACTCACCCCGGTGAGGTGAGAGGACAAGTTCCAACCCCCGTCACTTTAGAAGATAGAGAACCGCGAGCGACGAACTCACAGTATGATAACCCTGATGACCATCTCACATCCCACGCACAAGAAACTAGTAATCTCGAATTAGGTGATTTCATTCTCTACTCTATTTTACACCCCGCCTCTCATCTCCTCCCCTCCCTTCCCCTCCCGCAACCCCAACCCCTCCTCCAACAACAACAACAACAGTAGACGAGCAAAAAAAAAACCCCCCCCGGCTGAAAATTCAGCGCAAGCCGCCAACTCCCCCGCTCAATTCTCAAAGCGCAAAACACACCGGATATCATCCTTCTTGCATCAAACCCTCGCGGCACATTTGAAAAGCAAAAACCCCCCACGCAGCAGGAAAAAAGGGTGTGTAAGAGCAACATAGAATTCAAGAAACCGACAAAAAAACGCCAAAGGGGTATGCAAATGCCGCCATTCCCATGCTTCCCAGTCCGCCCCAGTTCGATGCAGCCTTTTTCCATGTTGTTTCGTAATTACGATTCGAGAAAGCGTCTTTCCTTTCTTTCTGTCCTGAAATATGATGAGGGTAACCCTTCCTTCATCGTCGACAGCCCTGTCCCCAAACTCGATCTGAATCCCGATCCCTTCTCGATCCCAAACCCATCACATCAGTCCGAGCAATGACACCGCTTTAATCTCCCCTTGGCCTGCGTTCGCTCAGGCAGGCAAATCCAACCCCTAGAATCGATTTCCGCCGTCCTGTCACGGCCGTTATCGATTGCAAAAAGCAAGTCCCGCAAAAAGCAACCAACTCGTACAATCCACCCAACCGTTGGGCAAAAAGCAAGCAAGGATGCATCACCCCCCCTTGTCGTCCGGGATCGGATCCCGGAATCCTCGCCTGATCCCTTCGAAAAAGCAAGTAAAACTACAAGTCATTTTTGGCAACAACCTGCATATGCCGCCTCATCGCTCAACTGTTCGGTACCGTGGCTCTGGTATCCTTCTTCCATGTTGTTTGAGGTTTTGATCTAGAGGTGCACGGCTGTGGCGTGGGGGGCTTTTTGTCTCTCGTTTCGATCCGGCTGAACTTCATGAAGTGAGACTTGCTCGGATTTGGAACGTTTTGCCTCGGCCGGCGCATCCATCTCGGTATCCCCTTTGACCTTCCCTATTCATCTCATCTCGTCTCCATCCTGACCCCCACCCATCTTGCAAAATATTGCGTCTCCCGGCAGAGAGCTCGGCTTCAGACCCTTCCAATCTTCAACATTTCCGACCCTTGCAGACCGTTCTCCGTCCTCGCACTCGTGGCTTTTTCATGTCCGTCGGGTCTTTTGCTTTCTGGCGATTTTTGCACCCATCCTGCACTCCACGGTCATGCTGATGAACAGTGCGGTGCCCTCGCTTCTTTCGCCACTCTGCTTGTTCGCAACGTTCGCAACGTTACACAAACCTACGCCCTAGCCACGTCCCGTTTCCATCCCGAAATTGCGGTCCACCAGTAGTCTCCTTCCCGGGACGATCCCTCCCAACCGGCATCGTCGAATTCTCGCCTCGGTCCGTGTGGCGCAGCACAGGCCTAATGCCAGGGTTTATCAAAGCATAAAGATTCCTGTCCGATTCAGCGCTTCCCGCGACCATGCCGCATAAAATGCAACTCCACCACCAAAACTCAAATCCTTCTTGCTCTCCCCTGCATCCCGTCGATAAATTCTAAAATTGGCAACAGTTGGATATCTGAAAATCTTGATTCCGGGGAAGTACCCGGACCAGCCGCCACGTACGGGGGAACCCCTTTGTATCGCATCGCATCGTCTAAGCAGAAAAGGCGAGGTACCGTAATGAGGAGGGAGCTTGCATGCGCGCTTAGGGGTGCATACGCAGCGCTGCAAGCATAGCCCCGTTAGCAAGCGATGCGCGCACAATGCGGTTAGGGAAGGTGAACCATTCTGTGGCGATTCTGGTTATTGCTGTCCTGAACCTGATTTTTGTCGCCCCTCTGAGACGCATCGATCTCCGTCTGGGTAAAGTCCTTTCCTGTGCCGGAATGAGATGGCCCACCAGGACCAGGACAAAACGAGGATGTCCACCGTAAAAATAGGTCAGAGGTGCCCCGATTCGGAACCGCCTGAATGCCGTTTGGATGTCGTGCAGGAACGCTGGGGCGTTTTGGGGTGCTCCTTGGTTTCATGCTTCAGCCGGACGACGTGCGATCCAGATGTGCCTATTTAGAAAAGTCGGTGGCGTCAGTCAAGGTAAATAAAAATAAACTTTTGAAAGACCTCGACGTCATCGAGGCAGAATTTTTGCATCTGCGAGGAAGACTGCAAAATGATAGGCGGAAGAACTTACATATTGCAGTAGGTGTGAAATTTCTTGGAGCAAATGTCCCGTTTTGCCTCTGCGACTAGGCGGTCCACGTCCTCTTTCGTCCAGTTGCTCATCCTCGTCATTGGGCCCAGGGTGAAGGCTTCCAGTCCTTGAGTAAGACCGAGATTATACCATCTTCCGATGTCTTTGAGATGAGGGTCATTTGGCCATGGATTCAGAGGCACTTTGATGACCTGCTCCTGAATCTCCACGAATCCCGTCCGTTCGAGCATTGCTTTCGTCTCCGTGTTGTATGCTATGGGGCGGTATGCCCGGGCCGTGGCCTCTATGAGGTATTGAGCCCAGCCAACTAGCGGAGAATTTACAGGAAGAGTATTGTCATCGCAGCGGGGGATGATATCGATTTCGACGTGCTCGAGCCATCCAAATCCAGGCTTGAGATGTCTAGGGAATGTCAGATTTGTAGAACTCCACGGAACAATTCACGCACCTGAAAATCTGCTGGTATATCCCTGGCCAGCTCTGTATGCTGCCGTTCAGCATTCGCATGTGTATCAAATCCCAAGAATCCAGCTCCATGCCGTGCCAGGGTGATTCGATATCTCGTTGTTGGAAGGTAATGTTGGGCGGGATTCTGCAAGATGTGTCAGATTTTGAAGATATTGCTGGAAACAGAGAACATACTGTCTTGGTTGAATCAAGGAGAGATCCACTCCCCAAACTTCTGCATTTTGATGCCAATATTTGCTACAACAAACCATCAGCATGCTGTTTCACTCTCTGTTCACTCTGCCACATCGAGGTGCATTTTGCTGCTTACTCCGCCATGTCAATCGCCCAAATTCCTGTGCCGGTTCCTAGATCTAATATTCGTGGCCCGCGGTCGTAATTCGGTATGAAGGGCGTCGAATGCAGAGCTCCTCGTCTCGCAACAGAAAAGAACTTGTGATAGATATCCATGCGATCCATCTCTTGCTGCGAAGAACCTCAAGGTTAGCCCAGCCCCTTCTGCTCGCAGCAAGACCATAAATTACCTCGTCCGTTGGGAACATGTATTTTCCTTTTCTAAATCCGCCATATTGCCTTCCGTTCTCCTCATAGTTCCCCAGGATCGCTGGTGTCATCGGCGCAGCCACTGGAGGTGGCGGGGCAGCGGGAGGCATTCTGGAAACAGCAGCGCACGGTCAGCATTGAAGACTCAATTAGAAGGCAATGACGAAATTGAAGCCTCCGCGAACCAAGTCGCGGGGAGAATGTCTGCGGGGACAAGACGGAGGAATGTGACAATGTCTTGCCGTGGAATGCAAGGAGAAGTGGGATGCGGCAGCCCGCCCCCTCTGCGAAAAGAATACTTGGAGCACGTACCCATTGTTCGCCATTGTCACCACCATCGAGCCAATTTTGTGTCTAATTTCTTGTCGCAAAAGCAGGATCTGGTCGCTAGAAACGTATCATAGGTCAGATATGGTTTGCCGATGTCGCTGCAGGTCAGAAGATTTGATTTTGCGTGTGCTGGGGCGTGGGACAACGGGTGTTGGGCTGTGAAGGAGGTATTATGTATGAGATGGCAGTGTACGTTTCTGTGCGAAATCGAGGAATTGAAGGATGGTTTTCTCGTAGGCCCTACTAACTGACGGCAGCCCTCTAGGCTCAGAATGGCGTTTTGACAGGAGGAACCAGCGCGTTCCACGCTTTCGAATCGCTGGTCCTGAGACGGCGAAAGGCACTGACTGACTGACGGCACCGTAGCACCAACTCGGTCCAGTGCTGGCGGCGGGAGGCTCGAGTTCTGGGAGCACCCGGGGCAGGAATTCTAGTAGCGGACTTCGCTGGCGTGACGTGGAGTTTATCAATGGGCTCTGAGAGTTTCTGATGGTGCTGGAGCCAAGTACGGTAGCTCGGCTGCTAGAGTTTTGGGACGACTCCCGGGCAGGGCGCTCCAAGGGAGTCCGGGGGGGCGTCTGAGGGAAGGCTGAAGAGGCAATGCAAGTCTGCGGTGTGCAACGCAGCAACGCCAACCAGATGTTGGTTGGCTTTGGCTTGGGGTTCGGCCGATTCGAGAGCTGGAGAGAGACCCGCGAAACATGCAAAAATGCAAATAATGCGGCGCGACGCGGGTAAAGGCGAGATCTGTTTCGAGGCCAGCGGGGATGGGGGCCAAATCTTATATCTCTGTATCAGGGGCCAGGCCGTGCAGGTTCTGGCTGCTGACTGCTGTTGCGAAGTTGTTCTGGCGCCTGCGGTGTCTGTTCGGCACACCACACCTCACCTCACCTCACCAGGGCTCCAGATACCGGGGATGCAGCGCCTTCTCGTGAAACCTCTCCCCCAGATTTTGTCCGATGTGGGATGATACTGCGTGCAAAATCCCAGTCTTGGCTTGCCAAACCTGTCCTGTCTGACGGGGTAATCACAAACACCGATTGCCAATCGCAACCCCCGTGTTTCGCGCCCAAACGAAAACCTGTGGGTAGGCTGGAGGTCGTGGCTGTGAAGAATGGGGGGGGGGGGGGGGGGGGGGGGGGGGGGGGGGGGGGGGGGGGGGGGGGGGGGGGGGGGGGGGGGGGGGGGGGGGTCTGGTCTGGTCTGAGGCAGGTGCAGGTGCAGGAGGGCGAGCGAGCGAGAGAAGAGAGGGGAGAGAGAAAAGAGCCGAGCAGCAGACACACGAGGTTTTATTCAAGGTACGAGAAGGCCGACGCAAGGTGAGAAAGGCGAGTGAGAGAGGAGGGGGGGTTGTGTGAAAAACTGGGGCCCGGGATGGGAGCACGATCGAGTTCCCAGTTCCCAGTTCCAGTAGCAGTACTGTACTAGTAACAGTAGCAGTACTGGGAGATCAGGACAGGATAGGACGGAAATCGTGGAAGGACAAGGGACGTGGATGGCCAGGACTGGGTGGGCGTTCGTGAGAGGTGCGAGGGCGTCGGTGTTTGGTGGAGGGGAGATCCTTCTCACGGCGAGACAGACTTCGGTCAGGAACAGAGGGGCAGCAGGAGCAGAGAGACAGACGGCAAGCAGGAGCAGAGCAAGGCGGCATCCAAAGCAACAATGAGAACGAGCACGATGACTTCCCTAGTAGAAACTGCGTGAAGGGCAGCGCCACCCCTCCAGATTGCCCTCCCCCGTGTCCACCGCGGCAAAGTCCTCCCTCAGCAGCACGTACAATACAAGTACTGTCTGTACGCCTCAAACCTCACTCCTTCACGCCTCGCACTTCACGCCTCACGCCTCACATTTTCCAACAAACTCGCCCCTCCCGCCAGCAAATAGCAGACGGGCCCAAGACTCTGGTTGGCACACCGTCCAAGACACTGCCGCTGACCCGCCCTGCAACTTCCTGCCTGCTCGTCACTCCTCCGTCCTCAGTCTTGGCCCTTGTAGCCCTCTGGTGTTCGGAAGATTGTATCACAGGGATCCCGAGTGGGTGGGCGGCAGGGGCAGCAGGGGCAGCCCCCCCCGCTCCACAGAAGCATCCCAGCCTCCCAGGCCCAACCCGGGCCCACCACCATTTGCTGGGCCCCAAGCCTCCTCCGCGGTGGGACCACGGGCGGTCGAGGTGCTGGGATGACCCCTCGGCCTGGTTGGAAGTGTGAGTGGACCGTGGGACGAGAGACAAAGAAAGGCACGGGCGAGCCAGTGAGTGGTGCGCGCGAGCAGCTGGTGCAGCATTACTGACTGACGCCTGCTATAGCCGCGCAAGGGAAATTATCTTCAACAGCTACTTCGGCCTTTCTCCTCATTGACAATTTAAAGGGGCATACATAGGGCAGGAGACGAGACGGCCCCGGCCCCGGCCAAGTGTTTCTCCATCCGTCCAGAGGAGAGCGAGGTCTCAGTTGGGAGGCGAAGGGGAAGGGGAAGGGGAAGGGGAAGGGGAAAGGGGGGTGAAGGGCAAGGCGTGCAAGGCAAAGAAGACACTTGCGGTGATGGAGACGATCAGCAATGCGGAGCGGACCTCTTATTCGTACTGTACATCCTCTGCTAACACAACATCCCCCCCATCCTATCACTCAAGGCCGTGTCGGCGGTACAGCCTCCCATGCAGTTAATATATTCCTCCTCACGCAGACACTCAGTCGCATCGGCGATACGGCTCCCAGCCTCCCACACCAACCGCATCGTCGAATGACCTCCCCTCCTCCAGCTGCAGCACAGCACCATCTCCACTTCTCGCCTCGCTGCTGTACAACACACCATATCCTCCTTGTCGGATTGCCCGGAAGCAGCAAGTGGCCTCCCCTCTGCACCACCTTGCCGATTCTCCAGAGTCTCTCAATCACGCATGGCTGCCTGTCTCACCTGCACCACTCACTGGCCGCCACCTTGCTCATCAGCGCGCGTTTCGACAGACTGCTGGATCCGCCAGTCTGGGTCGCTCCACCACTAGGTAAGACGCTTTCCCAAAGCCGGGTCGGATCTCAAGCCTGTTATTCGGTGGAGCTGCCCGCTCTGCATCAAGATCCCAGGCATCATCCCTCCTGAGTTTAGATTTTGTCCTTCCTGTTCAAGCTACTGACTGCGACTTCATGCTAAAGAGAACTCCTTTACACTTTTAGTCTTTTACGGAATGCCTCGAGAGGAAGCCACTCGGGAGTCAGGACGTCTGAGTCATGGGGGAACTGTCAGCCCGGGGTTCGATTTCGAGTTTCGATTGCGGATGCTGCGGGGACTTACCGTCACTGGCGTGCCCGAATTCTTACCCTCCTTTCCAGGAATTCGGGACAGCTGAACAACAAAATTTTCAATCCTACCCCCTCAAACCCTCCTAGGCATCAACGCTTTTGAGTTTTGGTTATTTGGCGTTGCGTCACTTGCGTTCCCTGCACACCCTCAGCCCGCAAATCCCAGCAACCTGCCACGCACACTCCACGAGCTCAATGCACCTCACACCTTCATCCAATCGCAGACCACACCACAACACCACTACCTCTCTGTGCGTTTGTGTGAACTCTGGTAACGGTAACCTCTAACTGGAATTCATTCGGTCCCTTTGCTTCGCCGTAAGAGTGCAGCACCTGACTAAACAGCTGACATATCAGGTCGTTCAGCCCGGTTTTCTCCTATCCCATCACAAGCAATGCAAGAGCAATATGGGATCACCGTTCCGAAGGCTATCTGCACTTCACTCCTCGACGTTACATCGCCCCCTCCCAAAATAATATACCTAACCTTCCAGCAATCTAACTTTACTTTAGAGCACTTTGCACATGTCGAACCAACAAAAGGCCGCATTCCAAGAATCGTCCAACCTGCAAGCCCAACACGAGTCAACTTGCGTTATTGGGCCGCCAACCACCACTGCTGTCACCAACATAACCTACACCATTCAAGCTCGGCAAGCCATTGATGGGAAAGACTGGCTCGTCTGTCTGGTGAACATATCGGAGGAGGAAGAAAACGCCTCGGAAGGAACGGTCTCATCACACCGACGACTACAGCGCATGTCTCATCTCCTCCGAGCGCGCGCGAGTTTCCTAGAACGATAGACATTGCTCTATGGTCCAATCTCCACGAGCCCGCCGCCGAGCCCGAAGCAGGAATTCCCAACGGCGAGTTGTGGGAAGGAGCCGTGCGTGCGGCGTTACACCAATGCACCGTGTGTTGGCTCCCTCCAATTCGATCCCCGGACCCGACGGAGCGGTACCGTAAGAAAAGAAAGGAAAAGGAGAGCCTAAAGCGATGCCGCCTACGGAGATTTGAGAAAGGTAGGGCCTTTTTTCCTTTTTCGAAGATCGGTCAAAGCCTCACTTCGCAAGCAGCTCGCAAGCCTGTGCGGTGTTGGTAATTAGACCGAAGTCAGGTACCGGTTTGTGAAGCGTGGAGGGGCGGCAGTGGTTGGGCTTGGAGGCTGCCCAAGGGAGATGCTGGCACGGGCGAATTCACATTTCTTTTCTTCCGCTAACCATCCCGCTGGGAATTTCTTCAGAGGCGGTGTAACAGCCCAGTCCGTACTGGAACTTGTAGAAGCCATTCCGAACAGATCCAAGCGTCCTTCCTTCGCCAGTCCCGTGATCTCTCTCCTCGCAAGAAAAAAAATTATTATCAGACCCGCCTCGCCCTAGCCGCTGAATTTGTCCCGTCCCCATAAAATAACACGCATCGCAGCCAGGGTGCGGCATTCGTCAGA